CAGCATCTCCATTAGTGTTTTTAGGGTGGTTTAGTTGCAGGAGGGATTGTTTTTTTTTTTTTTTGTCTCCGCAGTGGGCCCTACCTAAAAAACAACAGACTCCCTCCCTTTGCGCGTGAGTCGCACCAGGCGCGCCCAGCCGAGGCGCCTGCACTCCACACGCCTGTTAGGTGTATTAATCCGTATTTTTTTTTCTCAAAATTTTTTATTTGTTCTATTCTTAAAAACTACAGTTATTGAAGATGCCCTTAGTTTTTATATGGTTGCAAGAATGTTATTACAAGCTGACTTAGTTTAATTTGAAAGTGATATAGTACGTGTTATTCACATTTACATTTCTAGGTCTATATTCACACTTTCATGATAGTAAGTGTTATTGATTTTTTTTGAGACTTTTCGATAAATTCTTTTTAATGATAAGTTGGATGATTTGATATTAAAAGTTGCAAGTGAATTACGTGTCTTTTTTTTTTCTTTTTTTTTTTTTTGGAGTGTTCTCATCCGATCTCACAAATATTTTGTTTTGTTTTTTTTTTTTTAAAAAAAAAAGATTATTTATTGATTTAATTAACAGGACCTGGATGTATCTAGGTAGACGGTGTATACAATAGGCATTGCATGGTGGTAGCTTTTGAAAGACAAAGTAACATAGTTATAGTAGTATATTGAAATGTTGTCCTAGAACAAAGACTCATAGCCTCAGGTGTCCAATAGTTATAAGCTATATATCCTGAAAGGCTGTTCTTGACAATATCATCACACTGGGAAATGGTGATGATTCAAGAAAACTAGTTTCAGCTTTTATTATGTCGACAATTATTACTAGGCCTAGACCCAAAAAGAAAAGAGAAGACGAAGAAAAAAAGAGACAAGTGGGCATACAATTATCTGGACTTCTTCGTACAATAGATACCATGTCGCCCTGTCGGATTGCTTTATAAAAATAAAAAAGTCAAAAGCAAGGGTTTGGTAAATGAGTGTTAACTAATAGATGTTAGTTAATTTGGTTAGAGCATTCATAATAGTGGAGGTTTTTTTTTTTTTTTTTTTTTTTTTTTTTTTTTTTTTTTGAGGAGTTTTGGTAAGTGTGATTAAGAAAGTGAATATGAGAAGGGAGAAAAAAAAAATAAAACAAAACTGATTTAAAAAAAAAAAGGAGATAATAGCAACCAAAAAGTCAGAGTGACCGCCAGTTGGCGGCCACTCTGACGCGCCTCAGCGCGCGCAAAGTATGCCTAAATGCGCTTGTTGGGCATTTTTTTTAGTCTACTCCTCCAAAATCTGCAAAATCAAAGATTTTGCAGGAGAAAACTTTCTCCAAAATTTGATCTCCACATCAGTGTTCTTCTTCCACACCAATTATTTCCACGGCCAAAAACCAACAAAAAACTGCTGATATAGATGCTCTTAGTGAGTTTGACTAGTTGATAGTATTAGGTGATTGTAAAAAAGTATTTGGTAAATTAGCTGTTAGTTGTTAGATGTATCACATACAAAATGATTTTCTCAAAAAGCTAATTGAAAAATCTACTTTGAGTAGCTTTTTGAATTTTAACATTTTGGAGCAATAAGTTGTTACAAAAAGATAATTAATCAAACCCTCATATTGATTGTTTAACCAAGTCAAGCATCTAATAGTGGTCAAATAAGCCCAAATTGACTGATAAGCTAACTATTTTACCAAACAGGGTCAAAGTATATTTGTACCTCTTTGGTAACATAATTAGCTTATCAGTTAATTTTAACTTATTTGATCACTATTAGCTGTTTGACTTGGTTAAACAATCAATATGAGTGTTTGATTAATTAGTTTTTTGTAACAACTTATTGTTCCAAAATCCTAAATTAAAAAAACTACTTAAAGCAATTTTTTGATCAGCTATTTGAGAAAGTAATTTTTGCATGTGTAATCAACTATCATCTACAAACTAATTACCAAACACTTTTCTAACCAACTAATCCAATCAACTAACAACTATTTACCAAAGATACTAGTAATATTTTATAACTTACCTAATTAATTGGACATCTATCACTTTTTATTTTTAGGAATCACTAATTTTATTATTAGAGAAATTCTTACTTATTAATATTTTCAGGAAACTTACAAAACAGATTGTAAGAGTGAAAAAGAAGGGAAGCAAGTGTATTATTCATCAAGAAGAGATCATTACAGAAGACAGAGTATATATACTAAGCTAGAGAAGGGAAGGAGGATTAACAACTTGTTAACAGAAGTTAGTTACAAGCAGTTATAAGAGGGAGGGAAAGGGATTGTTTTGAATCTTCTGTTGAGCTTGCTGAGTCATGTGCTTTGCCATGTGCTATATGTGTTGACACCCCCCCCGCAAGCTGGATTATACATGCAATGAAGATTCAGCTTGGAAATTAATTCACAGAAGGAGTTAGGAGCATGAGCCTTTGTAAACACATCAACTAACTGGTTGTGAGTTGAAAGATGCATCAACCTTAGAATCCCTTTGTGTAGTTTTTCCCTCACAAGGTGACAATCGATCTCAATATGCTTCGTTCTCTCGTGGAACACTGGATTTTCAGCAATAGCAATTGCGGATTTGCTATCACAATAGAGCACTGCTGGAGGATTCCCATCTATCCCTAAGTCTTTAAGCAGATATAATAGCCACTGTATCTCACATGCTGCTGTGGCAAGAGCTCTATATTCTGCCTCTGAGGAGCTCTTTGAAATAGTCACTTGTTTCTTGGACTTCCATGAGACTAAAGAAGTGCCAAAGAACATGCAAAAACCTGTGACTGATCTCCTTGTATCTGGGCATGCTGCCCAATCAGAATCAGTAAAACCTTTGATGTGTAAAGATGAAGTAGCAGAAAAGAACAAGCCCTGAGCTGGAGCTGCTTTGATGTACCTCAAGATTCTGTGAGCAGCTTGCAAGTGGATATCAGTAGGGCAATCAAGGAACTGTGACAACTGTTGAGTTGCATAACTGATATCAGGTCTTGAGATGGTTAAGTACAGCAGTTTACCTACAAGCCTCCTGAATTGAGTAGCATCCTCAAGTTTATTGCCAGTAGTTTTGCTGAATTTTATGGATGTAACCATAGGGGTCTTGGCAGGCTTGCAGCTTAGGAAACCTGTTTCTTCCAGAAGTTCTAGAGCATACTTTCTCTGTGACATGGAGATACCACTGCTATTTCTTGCAATTTCCAGCCCCAAAAAAAACCTTAGAGGTCCCAGATCCTTTATGTGGAAGACATTGTCTAGGTGTCTTTTGATCTGTTGAACATGATTCAAGTTAGGACTTGCTAGCACCAGATCATCAACATATACCAGCAATGCAATAAAATCTTCCCCTTGCCCTCTTATAAACAGAGAAGAGTCAGAAACAGCCTGTGTGAACCCCATACTTAGCAGCTCATGAGTCAATTTGACATTCCACTGCCTACTAGCCTGCTTTAGGTCATACAATGACTTTACCAATTTGCATACTTGTCCAGGCTTTAGGGGGGAAAAACCAGGAGGTAGCTGCATGTAGACTTCTTCATTCAAGTCCCCATGCAGAAAAGCATTGTTTACATCCAATTGATGAAGAGTCCAGCCTTTGACAGCAGCAACAGCTAACAGACTTCTGATGGTAGTTATTTTAGCCACTGGGCTAAAGGTGTCTAGGTAGTCTAAACCAGGTGTTTGAGTATAGCCCTTGGCCACCAACCTAGCTTTGTACCTCTCAATAGTCCCATCAGCCTTGAGTTTGGTTTTGTACACCCACCTACATCCAATAGGTACCTTATTAGGTGGAAGATCTGTAATAGTCCAGGTGTTGTTGGCTTGTAAAACTGATATTTCATCCTCCATGGCCTTCTTCCAGCAGTCTTGTTTAATTGCCTCATTGTAGTTTTTAGGCTCTCTGGCCTCCAAGGCATTGACAGCAAAAACTCTATATGCTTGAGACAAGTTAGCATAAGACATGACCTTAGAGATGTCATGGGGAGAGGATCTTTTGACAATGGTGTTTTGACAGGAATAATCATCTAGATAGGCTGGTGTAGATCTTGTTCTGGCTGATCTTCTTGGATGTGGCAATATAGTGATAATGCTCTCCATTTGATCTGATGGTGCAGGCTGAGAGTTTTCATCAATTGTGGGTGGAACATCAGGACTGTGTCCAATATCAGAAGTGGGAGTTTCAACAGAAAGATCCTCAGTATTCATGTAGGATATAGTTTCTGATGGCAAGACCAACTCCTCCTGCTGGGTAATGCCTGAATTTTGATAAGGAAAGAGATTTTCATAGAAATTAACATCTCTAGACAACAATATCTGCTTAGTTTGCAGATCAAACAATTTGTATCCTTTAACTCCATTAGCAAATCCCAGAAATATACACTTCCTGGCCCTTTGTGCAAACTTGTTTCTTTGGCAGCTAGGAACAAGAGCAAAAGCTAAACAACCAAACACCCTTAGGTGTTGATATTGAGGCACTTTGTTGAACAAAATCTGATATGGAATCTTGTTGTCCAGGGCTGTAGATGGGAGTCTATTGATTATATATACTGCATGCATAATGCAGTCACCCCAGAAGTATTCAGGTAAGTTGGACTGAAATCTTAGGGCTCTTGCTACTGACAAGATATGCCCATGCTTCCTTTCAACAATGTTGTTCTGCTGAGGGGTGTAAGCACAAGATTTTTGATGAAGAATTCCTTTGTTTTGGTAGAACTCTTCCATCAAGAACTCTTTCCCATTATCAGATCTTATACATTTTACATTCTTTCCAAACTGTGTACTAGTCATTTCACAGAATGACTGTATTAGCTGTTTGACTTCACTCTTCTTTCTCATGAGATAAACCCAAGTAGCCCTACTATGATCATCTACTAAAGTCAAAAAATATTGGTGACCATAAATAGTGGGAATATGATAGGGTCCCCAAATATCTGCATGCACCAAATCAAAGCAATCATTTGAAGTAGAGAGACTAGACTGGAAGGGCAATCTCTTTTGTTTTGCAAAGTGGCAACAATCACAAGCAACAGGTTTTGTCATTACAAATCTTGTTATCTACAGTATGAAGGAATCTAATTTTTCCTTCAGAAGCATGACCCAATCTTGCATGCCAAAAACTACACAAATTGACAGCAGTTTTACATTGAATAAAAGCAGGAAAGATGAGCTGATATAGTCCTTTCCTTAGCTCAACTAGACCAATCATCCTCCCATGGTGTTGACCCTGTATAACACACTGATTAGAATGGAACAAGACCTTACAATTTGATTCTCTTATCAGCTCTCCCAAGGATATCAAATTGCAATGAAAAACTGGCACACACAGAACATTCACCAAAACAAGTTCAGCAGACAGTTGGACACTCCCAATGTGGGATACAGGTGCCTTTTGTCCATTTGGTAGATCAACATATATACCCTGGACTCCTCTTGCATTTTGTAGGAGATGCATATTACAAACAATATGATGCGTGGCTCCACTATCAAGAAACCAAGATAATTCAATCTCTGTTAGATTATTTTCAGCAGGCTTAGCAGATTTACCTTCCATCCTAGCATCTGGGATGAAGTTGGCTGCTATAGCATTGACATGAGGTGTATTACTCAGAGGAGAGTTATTAAACCTTTCATGCTGCATGAACTCCAAGAACCTTCTGTAATCTTCTTGATTGAAGGCATAATTGTTCTCTGATTCCTCAGTCTCTTGCAGGGAAGTCTGAATCTGGTTTGCTGATGCTGCACTTTTGTTTCTTGGCTTCCAACCAGGGGGATAGCCATGCTTTTTGTAACATTTCTCCACAGTATGACTTGTGTATCCACAAAAACTACAAACTGGTTTGGGTTTCTGATTAGAGTACCCCTTCTTATTGTGGATGTCTCCCTTAGTAAAGAAGGCACTGGCTCCTGCTATATTGTCTCCCAGGGTGTTTGAGCTTGTATTGACCTGCCTTTCTTGCTGAGAAACCATGGAGAAGGCTTCCCCTACGTCAGGCAGTGGCTTCATCAACATAATCTGACGTTTGGTGTTGGTAAAATTCTCATTGAGACCAGTGAGAAAAACCGAGAGCATGTCATTTTCCAGATGAACCCTAACCTTTTCAGAGAGATCCTTTCCACAGGCACAACTTGGTGAACATTCACATGCAGGGGCAGGTCTTAACACAAGCAGTTCATCCCACAATAGTTTTAATTGTGTGAAATATTCATTTACAGTGGACGCACCTTGTTTAGTTTGGTGGATTTCAGCCTGAATTTCAGAGACACGAAAAACATCCTGTTGACTAAATCGTTTCTTCAGATCTTTCCAAATTCCTTCTGCCGTATTGATCCACAACACACTTCTGGCGATCGTAGGAGAGAGGGCTCTGAGTATCCATGATAGGACCATGGTGTTGCATTGATCCCAATAGAAGAACCTAGGATCAGCTGAATTGGGGATCGGCATTGTTCCATCCACAATCACCATTTTGTTCTTTGATCTTAGGGCCATTTCCATGGCTCTCGCCCACGGATGGTAGTTAGATCGACCTTCCAGCTGCGCCGTCACCAGTTGCAAAGCTGGGCTCTCATTCGGATGAAGGTATAAAGGATCTGTGCGATCTTTAGGGTCGTAGCCTACCGGAGCTGCAGTAGCAGAGGTTGCAATCGGAGCTGGAACAGGAATATGACTTGTTGAAGTTGACGGATGAACCATGTTTACAGTAGGTGCTCTCCAAGCCATCAAGGCTCTGATACCATTTCAGGAAACTTACAAAACAGATTGTAAGAGTGAAAAAGAAGGGAAGCAAGTGTATTATTCATCAAGAAGAGATCATTACAGAAGACAGAGTATATATACTAAGCTAGAGAAGGGAAGGAGGATTAACAACTTGTTAACAGAAGTTGGTTACAAGCAGTTATAAGAGGGAGGGAAAGGGATTGTTTTGAATCTTCTGTTGAGCTTGCTGAGTCATGTGCTTTGCCATGTGCTATATGTGTTGACAAATATACTAATTATAATGCGCACATTGCGGCATTGCGCGATTAAATTAATGTTCAATAAGAAAATTAAAATAAGTAAATATTTACTACAATTTTAAATATTAAATAAATAATATAAAATAAAAATAATTATTTTAATATAATCAAATAATGAGTATTTTAAACTTGTAATAAAAGTAGTAGTAAAGATTATTGCTTCAAATAATTATAATTCAAAATAAAAATGATGTCTTAACAATTTTTATATGGAATATTATTAACGAAATAATCAATTGTAATTCATTTGAGTGCAATTAACATTATCTTTAAGTTATATAAGCATTAACACTATGTGGTTTAATGGTAGCCGGGTCGGATTTTCATTTGGAAGATTGTGAGTTCAAGCCTTAGTGAAGGCGTTATTAGTTTGGTTTCAGTGGAAATCTTCTCATCTATTCCACCACGTACTAAGCCGTGATTGGAACTCTAACTAACAAACAATATAAAATTTCCTTTCTACTCTCTATTTTAACACTCATTTAACACTAAATATAACGGAAGACCATTTTAAATTAAAATTTAATAGTCGGAGGATTACTTTGGGTGCAATTAAAAGTCAAGGACCAATTTGAGAAAAGGCCATAGTCGAAGGACTATTTTGGAAATTAACTCTAAAATAAATTAAGTCTTCTTAATGCGATATTGACCAATAAGTAAAGCCTAATTTATTTTTTGTTAAAAGTGACATGATTATAATAGGCTTACTAAAGTGTTGTCGAATAGTAATCAAAAAGTTATGCAATTAAGTTATAACATATGAATTATAATCGTATTAACTTATTTTTATTATCGGAGAAATTCTTATACTTATTAATATATATAATACGATTATAATTTTCTTAGCTTATTCACAAATGACAACCACAAGAACTCCTTTTTAAAAAGAAAAAAAGATTAAGAGGGTGTTTGCCAACTATATTGTTTTATTTATTTACTTATTTTTTGAAGTATTTAATATTTTAGATAATAATTTTTTAAAAAATTAATGGTTAATACCACAAATGGTCCTCTGATTATTGTGCTAGTACTCTTTTTAGTCATCGGCTTTCAATTTTACGAGAACACGTACCGTGACTTTTTTTTTATTATTTTTTTTAATTTTTACCACAAATAGTCATTTGTTAAAATTTCTGTTAAATAGGTGTTAAATCTAGGGTATTAACTCAAAATTTAATTATAAAAATTATTAATTATTATTGTTGTTATTGTGTAACTGGCCACAACTCAAATAGAAACTTGTGCGTTTACGATGGGATTAAAAAAAAAAAAAACTCGTTTTTAAATTATTATATTAATATAAATTAATGGTAATATATTTTTAGTATAGATATAAATTAGTGGTAATATAAACCATTATATTCTTAAATGACTACAATTTAACCCTATCTATAATAGCTGTTCAACATAATATGCCAATCCTTGGAAACTATTAAAGCTAGTTTGGTTCACGAAATAAATTTGGAGGGAATAAAAATGATATCCCACAGGGAATAGATTAAGTAAGGAATAGAATAGAAATTATATTCTGTTATTTGGTTGGCTGAAGGAATAGACTTTAGTAATTGTATTCCAGTATTTGGTTGGTTAAAGGAATAGAAATGGAATATGTTTTAAAGACATAAATACCCTTATACAAAAAAAAAAATAATAATAATAATAGTTCCGGTGGACAGGGCGGTCTCGCTGGCGTGCTTCTAGCTCCGGTGGACAGGGCGGTGTCGACCGGAAGGCATCAGGTATATATAAAATAAACTGTCAAGGGTAATGTGTGTGTACATACATACATACATATATATATATATATATATATATATATATATATATATATATATATATATATATATATATATATAGATTGATAGATTGATGGATAAAAATTATAATTAATTAAATATATACATTTATATAAATACATTATATTTATTAAATAAATATAAATATTATATAATGTGCAAAGGGTATTTTTGGTATTTGTGATATAAAAGCTATTCACAGGGCCATGGGAATAGCTAATATCAAGGCCCCCCTAGGAATGGCTAATCCCCTTGCGAAGGTAATAGCTAATTCCTATGCATGTTATTCCCATGACAAAATGATCAAACCAAACGATGAAATAGGTCTATTCCAATGAATGTTATTCTATTTCTGACCTATTCCATGAACCAAACATGCCATAATAGTAATTGTGACCTTCTATTTGAAATGGTAACAGTTATGTCATCAACCCATAATGTACTTGACAAACTATTATATAAATGTGTATGAATTAATTTCACTTTTGGTCCCACGACTTTTGAGTTCTTATCACTTTTGGTGCACAACTTTAAATTTTTTCAATTTTGGTGCCTAACTTTGTTATTTTTATTAGTTTTGGTCCTTCCAGCCAAATTGACGGTAAAATATTTCCGGATTTTATATTTTAGGGGCAAAATCGTCATCCCATGGAAAGATCTTCAATATTTAAACAAAAGAAAAATCATATTAAGAGGAAAAAAAGAGTTTGCCAATGATCGAAACTATAAATCCCATAGATCTGTATGGTTTCTGCCCGTCTTCCATCATCAAACACCTACAGATATGATTTTACAGTGATTTTGTTTAGATATTGAAGATGTTTCCTTGGGATGACGTTTTACCCCTAACAATATCAAATCCAGCAACATTTCGCAGTCAATTTGGCCGAAAGGACCAAAACTGATAAAAATAACAAAGTTAGGCACCAAAATTAAAAAATTTTAAAGTTGTGCACCAAAAGTGATAAAACATCAAAAGTCGTGGGACCAAAAGTGAAATTAATTCAAATGTGTATTAATAGTATAAATTAGTGAGCCAAATAGTCTTTTAAACTTAATAAATGCAATTTGCTAATCCAAAACTTACTATTTTCAACACTTTCACCCAATTTGAGAACTTGGGTGCATGTTGTAATATGCACCATGGTCCATGATATAACTATTGCTATCAAACCACTAAAGTCATACAAATCAGCCAAATTTGACGAATTTGTCATTTATCAAACACCTGAGTGTTATTAAATAGATAAAATCTAAATATAAATAATACTCTTGACCTGACTCAAAGTCAAGTATTAATTTTCTCTAACCAAAACGGTTTTACAGAAGTAAAAATGTAACATTCTTCCAAATGTAACATAAAAATATAGATAGATCAAACAAGTCAAATTGAGAGAGTACAAGCTTAGCTTAAATTTCAGAACTAAGTCAAGATTGTATGTTTCTTCTCCCAAAAGATTGGAGAGCCGGTCTAACAGATTATTTGGAAGGATATAAATTGGATTGAATAAAAGTTACGCAAATTATGCACTGGAAACGTGTTTACCATGAATGGTGAACACGGGTCCAAACGACACCGTTTTTATGGATTTTTTTTTTTAGTTAATGTGCTGTTAACGGCACGCGTTTGTTCAGATTATGAATTTCTGTTATGAGATTATGAATGTACTATAAATTCATAATCTCATAACAGAAAATTCATAATCGCATAAAAGAAAAACATTTATTAAATTATGAATTTTCTGTTATGAGATTATGAATTTACAGTTATGTAATTATGAATTTTCTATAAATTCATAATCTCGTAACAGAAAATTCATAATTTCATAACAGAAAATTCATAATCGCATACAAGAAAATTCATAATCTCATAACAAAAAATTCATAATTTCATAACAGAAAATTCATAATCCCATAAAAGAAAATTCATAATTTCATAACTGCACATTCATAAATCCATGCCTGCACATTCATAATTTATGAATGTTGAAGAAACTTGCGCGAAGAGAAAGTGAAACCGCGAAATGTGAAAATGAAGAAGAAAAGCTGCACGGTTAATTAAGAAAAAAAAAAAAAAAAAGATAACGGTGCACTGTTACCGTTGGGACCGTGTTTACCATGGATGGTGAACACGGTTCCATGGCATAATGATTGATAAAAGTTATTAGTCAACCAAACTCTGTGAATAAAAGTTAATGGATTAGACACCACATACAGATCTACTCATATATACTGCTCAGTAGCCACCAATACACCATCTAGGGTTCTGAGTTAGGTATGAGGTAAATAACGGCTAGCGGTCTACCGTTAAAAGGCAACACAACAGGAACATCAACTGTGGCTGGAGATCAACACGATTATGCTTCGCTCTTATACGAGGTCAGATTTCTCGTGTGATTCAATGACTCAGCAGACATAGCCAAATGTCATTGCGTACAAGGGATCTGCCCACTTTAGACATAATCTCCATATTGTTGCCGCCTAGGTTTAAACCTTGATTTCTTCTCCCAAATATTATTTACTACACCATTAACCTAAGTTGGTGCGGGCAAATCGAGATTGTATGCTAATTGAGAGAAGAGCAGAGGACAACCTTAAATTACAGAACTAAATGAGTTGGTCGTTCGTTGAACTGCAAAATGTAGCAGGATTGCTAACTTTTTCATGAATGCTAATGAGTGATGATGACCTATCCATCAATTGCAATTCATGCACGTACGAACATATACGGTAATACTGAAACAATGCATTCGGCATGTTGGTGACATTAAGAGCGCTCTCCCGGCGACACTATAACTATATTTACATACTACTCCGTACGTTTTATATTCGCCTGTTTTTTGTTATCATTAACATATGTCCATGGACGGAGCTAGCCTGGGGGCAGCTGCCCCCACCTCCACCCCCA